CAAAATTACTGTATGGATTTCCAGAAAATTGATAGTAAACTTTGCACAATTTACTATACTCTATATATTCTCATTTTTGAGCTCAGATTACAGGAAAACTGTAAGAGGTGACGCAGATATTTCACTGGATTCTGAATCTAGGCCATCTCCACTCTGCACCCTGTGATCCACAGCAAAAATTACTGTACAGTTTTTGAGAAAATTGATAGCAGAATTTACCCAATTTACTCTACTGTACTCTATATATTCTCATCTTTGAGCTCAGATTACAGGAAAACTGTAAGAGGTGACACAGATATCTCACTGGATTATGACTCTGGGTGACCCCCACTCTGCACCCTGTCATCCACAGCAACAATTACTGTATGGATTTCTGATAAAATTAAATCCTATTCCATTACCAAACAAAATGAGTTCATTAGCTTTCAGTAGCTTTCACTGCATGTGGAATTAGGTTACACAAAGCACACACTTCCACTCTGTCTTCTGAGCACTGCTGAGCTGTTCATTTGTCATGTCCAGGCATTCAGAATGGAACCAGCGGTTGCAGTTATCACACTGGATCTGTAAACAAAAACATATGAACTTTCATAAACACATTACGTAAATAATTCTATGTTTTAATCAATTACAATCCTTAAAGACACAGAGTCAAATACTTTGTTGTAGATAACATAAAACTATTTTTAAAAATACTATCCATTTACCATTTAATTGTAGAAGCCTATATAAAAACTTTGCTCCGATTAATGATTTTTTGCATAGTTTGAGAGGCAAGTTTAAGGTAATTGCTTTATCTGAAACATGGCTAGATGAGAAAAGGGGCTGTGATTTCTATATTGACGGGTATGAGTTATAGTACATAAATAGATCTAATAAGAAGGCAGGAGGGGTGGCACTTTTTGTTAACTGTGATCTGAAATGTAAACAACTTAAAGATATGTCTATGGTTATTGACGACTTAATGGAGACTCTTACAGTAGAACTAGAAATGGAACGAAGAATATAATTGTTACTTGTATATATAGAAAGCCTGGAAAAATGTATAGATGTAGTGGAAGATTTATTAAGTAGGGCTAAGGGAAATAAGACTTTCTGTTTTGTGTGATTATAATATTGATTTTCTAAAAGAAACTAATCACAAGAAACAAAACCTAAGAACGGGAAATCACAAAACGCTGAAGAACTTAGAGAGCCAGAAAATCAAAAGACTAAACCATGAGAAAATCACAAAATCAAAGAATATAAAATAATCAAAACTTAAAAACTGGGTCACCAGACTATCGTCCATGACAGTATGTCTGAATACCTGCAGCCTGTGCATCATTTACAGATGCAGCATGGCAGTGTTATTCACAGTGCTGCTGTATAACTCTTACGGATGCTTCGGGGATGCTGAAGTGACTGAAGAGGACATCGCTGTTTCTGTGTGTAACATATCTCCAACCAACAACTTTTCTTGTCAGAAATAAATCTTTGACTTTTTTTTAATCAATTCACTTATTTCTCTTTTTTTAAAATTGCATTTTGAAAAGATTTTTGTAAAATTCTGTTTTTTTATTTAGAATTAGAAAATGGTTTTTGAAATGAGTTTTCTATTGAGAGTTGAATTCTTTTTTTGACATCCATTTTGACATGGTCATTAGAGAATAAGTCCTTAATTGATAAATGATTTCAGTACCATCCCTAACCACAAGATGGCTCTCCAACACAAGGAAGGGAAGTATCTCTCTACAGGCAGTTTGTCAATACTGCCCGAATACTTCCAGTTAGTCTCTGTACACAAGCAATATGGTTCTTTATCACTTCGGCTTTACACAGAAACACAAGAAACAGTCTGAGCTACAATAAACACTGACAAAAACAATTAAACCGCTGAAAGAGTGCGGAAACAATCAAACAATCAGGCATCTCCGACC